TTGTGGTGCTGAAATAAATATGTCTGCTGTTTCTGTTCTAAGACTCACCCAGGCCAGGAATATAATAGGGTTAGAAATTTAAATGTCCATAGGACTCAAACTATAATTTAAAGCCACACACTTTGGAGTTCTCCGCCGCCTATTCTGCAAGCTCCCTTAGAGTTAACTCCTTTGTCACCAAAGCCAGCAATGTCCACTGGGCATGCCCAGTGATATGGTTGGAGCCTGCAAACAGTTTCACTCACTCCGGGGTTTTACCAGCTGCCAAAGAAAGGAGGAGACAGAGGGAAGAGTTAAACAGGTACAGGACTTGGATCAGCTCAGGATGCCCAGGGCCAAGGCAGAGCACTGAGAGCTGGGGGGTGACGAGATGCTGCCACGAGAAGCACCTGGTCACACAGACGAGTCTGGTTGGTCTTCAAGTTAGTTGCTGCGTTAGCCTGGTCGGTCCCTCGCGCGTCTTGTTGGCATAGCCCAGGCAGATGGGGAAGGCGTGCAGGGAGCACTCAGGCCAGGGCGGAGTAAGATCCAGGAACGTTGGATCTGGGCAAATGCCAGCGACTGTGTCTTGCCTGTCCCTGCATTCCTCGAAGAGCTGCAGCTTTTCAGGGGTTTCAGGCAGAAGAGCAAAGTGCACACGAAAGAGCAGAGCTCATCTCAAATACTGACTCCGTGGTCCCTTTCTTTTGGCTGCGGAGCCCTTCCCCGAACCCTCTGAAGGTACCCTCGCCCAATCACGAGTAAACCTTGGAGAAGTGAAATCTTCACATAGCTTTCCGTGGGTCTAGCAGGGGCCTGGGCATGCTCAGTAGGCTACTTGGTTCTCTCGTTCGTTCTCTCTCTCTCTCTCTCTCTCTCTCTCTCTCTCTCTCGGAGGGTGGGTGGTGACAAGTTAGAAGCGCTTGCGGCAGGTCCCCGCCCCCAGGATCGGCCTCCCGCTGCAAGGGGATGAAGCCCAGGTACGCAGCATCCTGACCGGGAGCTGGAGGGGCCGCGCCCGCCCGCCCGCGCGGCGACCCCCCCAGGATCCCAGCTCGAGGACGGCCCGCCGCTCTCCGCGGTACTGCGGAGAGCTCAGCTCCGCCCTTCTCTTTCAGAAGGACAGCACCCCGCGTCACGTAACCCAGCCTTCTCGGGCTCCACCGCCGCCTCCTCCTTCCCAGTCCTTTTCCTCTCCTCCTCCTCCTCCTGCTCCCCTCCGCTGCCTGTTCTTCCCACCCGCACTCCTGGAGCTAGACGCTCAAGCCTGACGCCTCTGAAAAGGCAGCGGCAGTCGCCTTATCCACGGACCTCGGGAGATTCGCTTTGACCGATGCGTGCTTCAGGCTCAGGCTGGAGCTAAGGGGAATAACCTGGCAGGTAAAGAAGCTCAATTTGGGTGGGGGGAGGGGATGGGGCGAGGCCAGCCGGAGAGGGATATCTTTCCCCGTTGTAACTGAGCCAGGATCTGCTACAAATGCACAGGGAAGGATGGGTGGTGGGAGGGTGGAGTAGAGATCCTGGTGGTTTTTGCATGCAGCCTTTTAAATAGAAGGCAAGAAGAGGAGATAGTGGAACCGGGGTAGTAACTTAAAGGCTTCAATGCAGTGATTTATTAGCCAAAGAAAGAGAATAGACAAGTTAGAAACCGAAGCAATATAATAGGTCTGTTATCTACCTCTTTCTTTCTCTTCCCCATCCGCCGCATGCTGTGCCTATCCTCAATTTCTGGAGTCCACTCCAGGCTCCGGGAAACTGCACTGGTATTAGAGATGGAGCTTAGAGACTGGGCGGGAAAGCCAGGCAGAATTTGGGGTGTGCATTGGTATTGATGGACTTGGCAAAAGCCAGGGGGGAACGATAGGTACTTCTGAAATTTCCCCCCAAATTTCCAGGTCCTTTTTGATGGTCTATATTGAAGGGTGCATAGAAAGGTGTGCATGCATGGGTGTGTGTGTGTGTGTGTGTGTGTGTGTGTGTGTGATACCACAAACATATTAAAATAAATGCAACTGCAGCCGTTGAGCATACTGTATCGATCCTTCCAGTGGCTTGGGAATGAATATGATTCTAGAAATGAAAGAAAAGATTAATGAGGCTGTTCGTCGGCTTTTGAATTAGAGCGCTTCTTCCTTTGGCTGCAGTAAGGTTGTTTTTCAGATCCTTTTATATCACCCTCTAATTCGTGAACTCCCAGGTTTTTCCGGCACCTAGAGAGAATCCTCTTTCTCCATATCAATACAGATACTCTCACACACAATGAGCTTCCTCTAAGAACTGGGAGAGTCCGTTGACCTCCCCTGTGGTTAAGAATATATATGTGTGTTTTCCCCCTTCTCCTCCATTCCTTAAAAAACAACAACAAAAAACTGTCAAGGTTTGCATTTGGAGGAAGGCAGAAGAGAGGGTGAAGAAAGGTTTTGTGATCTATGTAATAGTGATTAATAAAATAATCGGACCCAACGGAGTCACACAGAAAAAGGATTTTCTAACCCATGAGCTTGGGGATGGTTACAAAGCACTATGTTTGATCTTGAAATGCCAGAATTATTTCATAAACGATGGAAGATTTGGCAGATTCCTGAGTCCACTTAAAAAAATGAGAGTATACTGAACAATACATTATCTTAGAATGATTTTTAAGAGCATCTTTCGTTGGGCTTGGCATAGGAGTAGACAAGCTATGGCTGGTGACTGCTGATGGTGTGGGATATAGCAGCCATAATAAATAAGCTACTGGGATTTTTGTTTCCTTTTGCTAGTGGGCAGTGTGTGTGTGTGTGTGTGTGTGTGTTTTGTGTATGTGTTCAAAGAGAGAGAACCAGTCATCAATTTCATCTGGGGAGGAACTTGAAGTGGGATCCCCCAGCTTGGTGGCTCTCAGCTGACACCTGTAGGGATTGCTCTGTACTGAAGAGAAATGCTCTCAGCTCCCTCCATGGAGGAGCAGCAGCACAATGCGGTGCCATAAATTACTGCTGGTTTCAGCTTGTAGAAGGGGAAAAGTGTTAATTGGATAATGAGGTCTGTGCCCAGGCAATAACTTGTGTGTGTGTGTGTGTGTTTGTGTGTGCGTGCTGTCTGGGGGGGGGGGGTACATGTGTTTGCTCGACATAACCAGATTATACATTCATGAATTTTTGTCAAAATATGAGAGTAATATTTTTTTTTTTGGTTAAGAAATGAGTTTAAAATCACTATTTATGATTTCTGTTCCATTTCAAGAACCTGTCAGATTAGAGTTGAATAAAGACAGGTGATTTAATAACATTGTGAGTAATTCAAAGATACAGTTTTAAATTCTAGCATCTCAGAGTCATATCAGCTAAGGTAACACACATGGTTGTTCTGACCACGCACGTTCTGAGCTGACAGCCAGATAAGTACTTGAGGAGGCGGTAAGTTCACTACGCAGTTAGGCAAAATACTAACTACACATCTGTAGAGGAGTTTGTAATATGGCAATTGAGTCATAAATGCTGCCAAAAATAGATATCTAACTCCAGTGGGATGTTTTCTCCTATACTATATTATTCCTTTATTAAAAAAAAACACTTGTTTGAAATTTTTTAAAAGACTCTCAAGAAACCATCAACATTCCTTCTCTCTCTGAGAAAAAGAACATGATAGGAGTGTTATACAGATCGAAGGTAGCATTTTCCAGTGGGCAGCTTGATCTCCTTTGCCTATTGTAAAATCCGCTATTAACTGAGATATGAATAAGTTGTATTTTTATTGTCCACGTAACTACTACACAATATAAACAGAGTTCTTTAAAGGGCCCTTTCCCTCCCCTCCCTTCATGTATTTTAAAAAATTAAACTTTCTTAGGAAAAGGAAGAAATAACCATAACTGAGTCTCTATGACAACCTGGGAGGGTTACCTGTTAACAGTTACATAAACTTCAGGGGTGTAATGGGTAATTGTGTATGATATTAACTATTGGGACACATTATGTCTTGCTTGTAGATCAGGACAAATAAGCTCCTCCCAATAAGGTTAACTCTGGCGTACTAACAGCAATAGTTATATTCCTGACTTCTGAGCAGAATAATGCTTTATATGATGCTATGCATGACTTTAGAACTTCATTTTAATTCTCCACAGATTTCTGGGTCCTTATTCAAAGGCAAAATAAAACCAAAATGCATCACCGACACCCAACCAATTGATGCGCTGGCATCTCAGCGTGGCCTTGCAGAGGTGGAGAGAAAAGAAGAGGGGCTGTTGTGATTTCCACATCTAACAGCTTCTGGCTACGTCACAGCTCTGGCTTTGAAGACCTGCTGTTGGGGAGGGAAAAGGAGAAGTGAAATCCAGCCTGCGAGGAATTCTGCTTTGGCTACAGGGGTGCTGGAAGTCCCTGAGATGACGACAGAGGCAGGCCTTTGAAACTACTCTGGTGTTGATGAGCGGTGCTCTCAGGAGACAGGAAACCCCCTTCTCCCTCCTGGTTTGGGGCACTGCACCTGGAGAGGGCGCTCACAAGCACCCGAGGATTCTGGTTCACTGCTGGCCCCTTGTAATTCCCTGAGAAGCCTTTACTTCCCACCTGATTCTAACCGCTTCCCTTCTGCCTGGTACCTCTGAGGGTCCCTGGCAGATGATGATATTTAAGGACTGAGTGAGGGAAGCATCTGCTGACACCACCGATGCCCTCGAACTAGTTCATCCGACTCCAATGGATGAGTGATCTCCCTTGACCTTCTGTTGACGCCTTTTCCAGAACCTTGCCTCCAAAGTGTATCCCTCCTCTGGTCTGGACGTTTTGCGGCTGCCCGGTACCCCTGGGGTCCACCTCTTCCAGTTGGGCCGGGACTATAAGGAGAGAGGGCGGGGTTGCTGGAAGAAGAAGAAGAAAAAAAGAGCTCGGTAAAGGAGGGCGCACCCCGCCCACTCCTGCCCACACCCCCCCGACCCTCCCTCCTCCCGCCCGGGCCCTTCTTTCTGCACCACGGGGTCCAGGACGACCGTGACCCTGTCGGCCCCGGCACCCCCCCGCCGCACCCCCGCCCCGAGCATGGGGACGGCGCTGCTGCAGCGGGGGGGCTGCGTCCTGCTGTGCCTCTCGCTGCTGCTGCTGGGCTGCTGGGCGGAGCTGGGCAGCGGCCCTGGAGTTCCCGGGCGCCGAGGCCCAGTGGGACGCCGCTTCCCCAAGTGGAACGCCTGCTGCGAGAGCAAAATGAGCTAGCTTTCCAGGCTGAAAGAAGCGCAGGGGGGGGGGGCTCCGGGTTCTTATTTTGAAGAAAAGGGGTTTTTCCGGACTTTTCTGGGGGGTCATCCCCGAGGCGGGGGGGGGCGCCCTTGGGGGCAAATTTTTTCCATTTTTTGCGGCGGAGGCCCCCACAATTTTTGGGGGAAAAAACCCCTCAAAAAAGG